TTTTTTTCCAAATTGACATATTTTATATCATTTAGTAGCACCACGGGAGGGGGGTGCAGAAAAAGGGTGGAGAGCTTTGTAGTTTTACGAGATATAGATATTATGTCTAATCATTATTTTTATTTCAATCTTTTTTTCTTTTTTTTTTTTGGGCGGGGGGGTCAGAAAACAATTGGATTGACTTTGTCAATAATAATGTACTGACCTTGTCAGCGCGTTTGTCCAAGACTCTGTACTTGTCTATGTGGAAGATGTCGCCCTTGTTGGTGGGGGGCGGGGAGGGGCGGGGCAGAACCTCCACCTGCTTGTGGTCCTCCACATAGAGGGCGTGGCCCTGGCTGTAGGCGTAGTTGGGCTGTAGCTGGTAGGTGGCCATGAAACAGCCGGGCATCTGCGTCACCTGTAAGGACGGTTTGTTTTTTGAGGGGCTTTTGTTTTTGTTTGTTGTTGCTTTGTTTTTGTTGTTGTTGTTGTTGTTGTTGTTGTTGTTGTATTGTTGTTGTTGGGTTGTTGTTTGTTGTTGTTGTTGGGTTTTTTTTTGGGGGGGGGGGTTGTTTGGTTGGATTTTTTTATTTAAAAAAAATTTATTGTGGGGTGGGGGGTGTGGGGTTAAGGGGTGGTAATTGTTTCACGGTGCTTGCAACTGCATAAGGTCACATGAGCGCGCGGGACACATTAAGCATTTTCAGTTGGTTGGAATTTTTTTTAATTTTGCCCGGATGGCGGCCGAAGCCTACTCTTATCGATTTGAGACCACCAAGGGGTCTTTAACGTACGCAACTTGCACACGGGTCTCTGGGGAATGTTGTTTAGTTGGTTTTGTTGTTGTTGTGGTTGTTATTGTTCTTGTTTGTTGTTGTTGTTGTAATTGTTGTTTTTGCTGTTGTTGCTGTTGTTATTGCTCTTGTTTTTGTTGTTGTTGTTGTTGTTGTTATTATTGTTGTTGTTGTTGTTTTTGTTGTTGTTGTTGTTGCTGTTGTTGTTATTGTTGTTATTGTTGTTGCTGTGGGCAGTGTCGTTATTTTAAAGTAACAATGTTCTTCTTCACGTTCCCCTGCTAGATCTCAAGCGAGATCGACTGCTGTTTCTTCAACATACGGAGGACCTGCCGGGCGGTGCTACTGACGGAAGTGTCTTTAGGCCATTCCAAAAGGGAGGGGAGGGGGGGGGGCATTAACATCTCGAGTTTTTATGCACAGTAGAGAACTGTAGTTGTAAATGAGCTGATTCATCAATGCCATGCTCATAACTGCCTGAACTGCAACAGGGAACTGCTACTTTTTCTGCCCTAGTCCTTACTATCGTCATTTCCCCTCTATTTCTTTTGTATGTTTGTCGCACTCTTGTGACCCACTATTTCCGGGGTGCCATGATAGTCGAAGCAGACATTGTGATGTTGAGGCTAGAGAGGGGAGCAGAGTAAGTCTGATTCCCTGTAAGGACTTCTCTGTTGACATCCACCCCTTGGCGCTCAAATGACCTTATGCAGTTGCGAGAGCCGTAAAACCTCCACTAAAAAAATAAACTTCGGAGTAACTGATTTTTAAAGTCTGTGACAGTTTGTCCTACAATGGCTTCTTGCCTCCAGACAGCCTCATTCCGATTTCGAAGATACTCTTTGTGGGTTTTTTAACTAACTAGAGTATTTTTAGTTTAGGTAGGAATTAATTAAGCTTTTTGCTCTGGTGGCGACATAAGCCTTCACTTGTCGATTTTAGGACCACCAAGGGATCATTATTGTGCGCAACTAGAACACAGGACTTCCGAAAATGTTCACCCTTATCCAAGAAGGCTAGGTCATCAATCTTACCTACTCTAAGATCAGGGGTGTGGGTGAAAGAGAGCAGTAAAATGGAAGCCTACAAGTCATGATGTGGTAGAATCAGGCTCTCGTCAAACTGTAGGCATTTGGGGCTATTAGTATCATCTTAAAGTTAAAGACTGTTCCTTTGTCTTCTTCAAGGTGAAAAAATATCCTTCTATGTTGAATAAAAGTCAAAGTATTTGCTATTGAAAGAGGTCAAAGTCGCTTTGTTTTAGAGGTAAAATTAGCGAGAAAATGGTCACCAAAGTCTGGTAACTTCCATAGTCTAAGATACCTTGGAAACTGAACATTTACATTTTTGGGGCCTTAAATCAAGATTTTTTAGTAAAATTTACCCAGAAATGTGTTTGTAAATCGACTTAAATGGTTCTGACACAAAAGAGGAAATATTTTCTAAAATTTACCATCAGCCCAAAAAAAAATTCCAATTTCTTTGACTTCATTATTATGACGAACGCCTGATTTCCCCACGATGCCTCACATATTATACATTCGTCGACGTAGACGCTTTGTCCATACCTTCACCCGCTCATGACGCTCACTTGACAGACCACACCCCATGTCCTCAGCTCACGGACGGGCCGAAAATGACGTCAGGCCAGACTAGTCCAGGGCTTGGTTGAGCCACCGGTCAGCAGAAGGTGGACATCAGTGACGGAACAGCCTGTGTCCACCTGGTACAAGTGGCCTGGCAGAGGTTTCAACAGAAAAAAAATCTTTTTTTAAAGCTGTAGAGGTCAAATCATTTGAGAGAATGACAACGTAAAGGGTTGAAATGAAATCGTAACTCAAGAGTAATATGCAAGGCGATATGGATGAAAATTCTTCTTTAAATGCACCCACAGATACACACACATACTCACATATACACATATATACATACGCACGCATACACGTGTGCGCGCACGAGCACACACACACACACACACACACACACACACACACACACTCACACACACACAATCACACATACACTCACTCACACACACACACACACACACACACACACACATATACGCACCACACCTACATACTATATACATGCACAGACACACACAAACGCACACACAGAGACACTCACACACTTACACATACATACACACACATACACACATACACTCAGATACATACACATACACATATACATACAGATACATACACACATACAGACAGATACATACACATACACACATACACACAGATACATACACACATACACACAGATACATACACATACACACATACACATAGTTACACAAACATACATACACATACACACATTTACAATCATACACAGTGGTATTTTATAGTTTAACACCCCTATCCATACTGTCGGGACTTCCGTGTTTAACGATCGTCTCCGAAAGGACCTAGTCAAGTGGGAGATTCGTGTAATGCGCCTTTCCCAGGACTCAACATCGGACCGAGCTGTGGCTCAAACAACCGAGTCTGCAATCTCAGGATTACAAGTCCGGTAGCCTAACCACTAGATTACACCCGCGCGTGCATACACACACACACACACACACACACACACACACACACACACACACACACTCTCTCTCTCTCTCTCTCTCTCTCACACACACACACACACACACACACACACACACACACACACACACACACACACAAACACACACACACACAAACACACACACACATACACACACACACACACACACACACACACATACACATATGCGGGGAGGAGGCAACATAAAGAACTGAAAGGGAAACTTTGTAAACTAGCAAGCGCTTTCCATGAAATCCTGTTGAATTTGCGTTTGACATGCCCCCCCCCCCCCCCAAAAAAAAAATTTTTTAAAAATATATATATACATGTATATCTAAGAAATATGGAGGATCTAACAAGCCCCTACAGCTCATAACTAAAGATCAATGTGTATCCAGTAACTCTTAAAATTCACAAGGAACAGAGACAACTGTGAAAACAAACCATTAAGTGCATGAGGAAAATGTTCATTAATCATTTCGAATAAAAATATCAAGGGCTTTGTAATACTGCAAAATAATATTCCTGAAAACCAGCAACCGTAGAGACAAGTCGATCCTTTTATTCAAGATCCGCATTTAGTTCAAACTAAGACTGGATTATCAGCTACAGAGAGCTATTGATTTGTTTTTACCAATAACTATACGCCGTAAAGACACAAGATCTCGCCAGCATTCCAGAGGGAAAAGGTGGAAATTTGAGGAAAGGAGAAGTTTCCTCATTTTTTCACAAACGTCTTCAGGTTTGAGTTTGAGTTTGAGTAAAGAGGAGCATATCGACCCAACTACTGTCATTTGATGCAGGGAAGAAGCAAGATGGGCAGACAGAAACAACAGAGAGGAAATAAGAAAAGTAGGACCTAGCCTAGCAGTAACACCATCCAAGCAGAGGAAAATACTATAGTAACTTACCATAATAATGGCACTGGGGTTTCAGCGATGCAGAATTCCTCTCTGCACTCTTCCAACCCCTATAAGTAGCTCTGGCTTAGTAAGTAGTGACTTGTAGCTCTGGCTTAGTAAGTAGTGACTTTGTGAAGCTGTGGCACAAGTATTGTCGATGCTTTCTCTTCATGGACTGTGTCTGCTACTGACTGCACTGTTGTTGGATCTCCAACCAGCACGGTTATGTTAGTGTGACCACCATCGCTTAGTCGACAGGAGTTAACTGTAGTAGGGTTTTGCACAGCCCCTAAAGAAAAGAATGAATACATTTTTTTTTTTAATTGTTGTATTTTTTACATTTTTCAATCTAACAGACCACAACAGGGGGAAACCCCTAAGACGAAAACTGTATTTTCAAACTAAGAGAAAAATCACATTGTAAAGCTGAAAACACACTCTACATGTTTTTCTAGGAACCTTCCGTGACAAAGGTGTCTGACTCAGTTTTTCTTTTTTCGTTGTTGTAATTCTTTTACGGCACTTGCAGCACAAATAGGTCAAACAAGTGGTGAAGATTTCAGGTGGTAGCCGAGAGTAGCATACAGAGAAAAGAAAGAGGAACGATGAGGGCGATGAATGTTTGATGAGAAAGGAGTTAATCACGCCAGAGCACGGCCCAGCCACACAAGTACCCACTGGAGAAACGATCAATGCCGTATTGTCGGATTAACTCATACAGGACGAAGATTTGGGCCATTTAGTAATGCTTGAAGATAAGCTATTTGGGGGCATATCTTCAATATTTAAACAGATTGTTCGATTCTGTTTGGATTTGGTTTTGGTTTTCTGGATCTTATTAAACTAAAACAAAATGGAAACATGTGTGTCTGATTTTACGTGATGGTTGGAAATGGGCGGAAACATTGCCTCTGCTCTGCCGTTGATCGTTTATTTCGTCCTAAAGTAGTTACAAGAAAATCCCATAATGAAGCTCCAAACTCATTCAATTTGTTTCACTGAGGAACCGTTTGTGAAAAGGATCTTAAACTCAGTTTACGTTTCCTTATTGCTTTACGGTGTCTCCAACAACAAAAAGCTCTATAAGAGCTGAAAATTAGAAGTGTTACAAGAGAGTAACAGACAAAGAAAAGAAGAAGGAGAGAGAAGGACAATGGATGTTTATAGGAAATAAAAAGCAAACCATATCAGAGCCTCCAGCCAACCATACACGACCCTGATGGAAAAATGATCAGTGTTGTATTTTTGGATTAACTCATTGACGATGAGCCTTCTGGCCATTTGATAAGGCTTGAGGGTGAGCTGTTTTAAGGCATAACTTGGTAATGTTAACAGATACATGTACATGTACTTAGATTTACATTTTTGTTATCTGAAACTTTGAAAAGCATGCAACAACGTGCATGCCATAAAATGCGAACCCGTGTCTCTAATTTGTGTATGGTGGTTGGACATAGCAGTCAGAAGTGAAAGACCTAGGCTTCTACTCTGTAACAAAGAAAGTTACAGAAGGTCATTTTTACCATCAGCCATCAAAATTCTTTTATCTTTCCCATCTTGTTACGAGTATTCAAAAGACCTAAGAGCATGCATCAGAATAACATTGAGTTACAATCAGAATACTGAGTATGTATCTTGCTCAACATCATTATTGCGTATATTACTGTTCATTTATATTATGTATGTGACTGTAAGCTTGCGTTTGTGTGCATGTGTGAGTGTGTGTGAGTGTGTGTGTGTGTTTGTGTGTGTGTGTGTGTGTGTGTGTGTGTGTGTGTGTGCGTGCGTGCGTGTGTGCGTATGTGTGTATGTGGTGAAACACCAAACCAGTGTGACAGGATCTGGACAATAAAGATGTGTTTATCGTACCTTATCTTATCTTATCTAAATATCTGTCCAAGCATTGCGTGGGTGGTTGGCGGGTGCTCTGGTGTAGTTTGCGTCTTCTTTCCTATCAAACAACTGTCGTCCTTATCTCCCCTTCTTCTTTTTTTGTGTTTGTTACTCTCTTGTAACACCTTTAATCTTCTGGCGCTCATTGTGAGGCAGCGTGTTGGAATCAGGCTCTCGTCAATTTTTGGGCATGTAGAGTTATTGGTATCATCTTAAAGCTTGTTCACTTGTCTTTATTTGGATGAAAAAAGTATCCATTTATCTTGAATGCAAGTCGAGAAATTTGCAAAAGAAGGAGGCGAGAAAACCTGTTTTCAGGGGTAAAATTAGTGAGAAAATGGCCGCCAAAGATTAGTTATTTCCTTTGCTTAAGAGTCCGTGGTAACTGAAAATTGACATTTTTTGTGCCTTTAATTAACGTTTTTCAGTATATCTACACAGAAATGAGTTCTTTAATGGGCATGAAAGTTCTTGAGCCAAAAAACAAAAATCTGATTTTAAAAATTCACAAACCAGTGGAAAAAATGCAAGTTTCTTCACTTTGATTATTTTGACGAGAGCCTGATTCCACCACGCTGCCTCACATATGGCCTTATGCAGTTGCGAGGGCCGTAAAACCTCTACTAAAACTAAAACTAAAACAAACATTGCATTTGCTCAGTTGCTGACTGGAGATAATGTGTCCACTACGTCTTTAAAGAGTTAAGAGATAACCACATTGTAAAGCTTGAAACACAGTCTTAATTCTGTTTCCTCAATGAACTCTTCCTATGAACTCAGGATGGAGCTGGATTTTTCATTCAAAGCTTTAACACTTATACAACCTATAATCTGTGTTGCAAGTGCCGTAAAACTCTTACTACAACTTTTTAAAAGAATTAACTTAAACTTGAACTGGATCTGTTTACCCGAAAGTATTTTACGCCGTTGGAAAGGAATCAGACCGAGAAGGTAAAGGACAAGGGGAGAGAAAGTAGGCAGGACCTCACTATTGATTATTTCCTGCGGGATTCAATGTTCTAGAAACTCCCCCTTCCTTTTTTTTTTTCTCTTTCACCTTTCTTGCAATTATTGTCATTATAATGTACCCAAATCAAAAGTAAACAGCATAAAAACAACAAACAAAAAGGGAAAATAAAACATTAAAATTGTTTTAGAATAATATGCCAAGAAAAGCAAAAACTCAACCAACTACAAATTCACAAACGAGTTTTGTGTCTAAGAGGGATATTTTATTTTCAGGCCCGTGA